AAAAAAAAAAAAGAAAAGGACAAAGAGGGAAAGACTTTAGGGAGATTGTTTATGAGATCATTTGAGTCACTGAGGACAAAGATGTTACGCTGGCATCATACTTAATGATTTTGTCTAAGGTGTAAGTGTACAAAAGTGATCAGGATGTTGAAGCAGATATCTGGGGTTGAAAGAAGGCATTAAAGGCAATGCCAAAGTTCAGACATTGCTGACCATATCTTTTTAAATTAGCACATTTTGTAACATGGAGATTTTTCTTTAAAGAAAAGAAAAATGAAGAATAAATATAATGGTATAAAATTTCAAAACAAGATTGTCAGAGAACAACAATGGTTAATACGTTGCGTATTGTTATCTTCAAAGTAATTGCTCAGGTTATAAGATATAGACATAAAAAATTGCTCAAACGATAAAGACATAAACCTTTCTTTTCAACAAACTAGTAGCAATTAGTAGTATAACTACCTTAACATATATATATATATATAACTTGTATGTATATAAAGTTTGAATATATATAATTTGTATATATATAACTTGTATATTTATACAGTTAAGATAGTACCTTTGTCTCCACTTTTCCTTCACATTTTAGTATCTTCATACCTTCAAGAATCTTAAATAGTTAAACAATTAGCTGATTTTCACAGTCAATATGATTCCAATGGCAGAACCGTATCTTAGCAACTTGTAAGATAATGCATTGGATGAATTTGCCTCATCTTAATTTCACAAGCAAGTCCTTCCCCACCCTAGTACTCATGAGCGGTTCATAACAAAGTAAGAAGACACTCAGAAAGGAGCGGAGAAAGTGCTCATATCGCCGAGGAAATACACTTCAGTGGCGAACCTAAACTGGTCAGAATTGGATTAAGGGAAAGTAATCTCTTGGGTCTTTTGATTAGCATTGGAAATTGTGAAAGCGTTGTTCTTTATGTCTGTAGCAAACTGTTTTTTCTTCTTGTCTATAGTGAAACGTGGTTGCAAAAGTGCTTCCTTTTTCTGTGGGGGACTCAGTCCCAGACAGGGGTTAAAATCTGAGTTCATGAAATGTCGAGTCCAGGGAGAAGCAGCTACTACAAAGTGGCTCATTATGTTTTCTATCTGAAATAATTCTTGTTTTGCCCTTTACTTTCAGGATGAACGGAAGCTACAGGAGAGCTTAAGGCAAGGTGCCATCATTATCGCTACCTTAATGAAAGAGAGAAATTTTGCCCTCGTTGGTCAGCTGCTGGTAGCGTGAAGGACACAGAAAGAAATTGTCGTTCAGGCTTCTGAAGACACTTGCCTGTCTATCATCGCCTCTCCTTCCCCACCCCTGCTCCCTCTCACTGTCAGCAGGAGAAATGTTCCAGTTGTTTTGTACATCTTAGAAGTTAGGGAATGTGGTGCTTAGATAATAAAAGTGCATCGGTGTTTGTGTCTGTCAAGTTGGGTGTGTCAAATATAAAGAGTAAGTAGGTGAGCAACAACTGCTTTCGTATAAAGTATGTTTTCACCAAGTTCAAAAGTGAGAGTGAGATAATAATGGTGAGCTATTCCTTCAAGGAATGAAAATTTAGAAAACTTCAGTTATTATCTTAACTCTGTTATTTAATAAATCACAGTATAATGAATAAGGATCTAAAATTGTCCTCTCAACCTGTGACATTTTATCTTTTTCTCTTGTACTGGAATTTTCCAATCCATGAAATAGATTACAGAAAATAGAACTACTTTAAACATTCTTATCATTTGCCTCTTATTTCTGTAGATCCCTAAAGCAGATGTAATCTTTTGCTTTTTTGTTATTTTTAAGTTGACTTTTTAAATTTTTAGGACAATAAAAAATAAAAATGATACAGAATTTCAAAACAACATGATAGGAAATTAACAACGGTTATTATATTGCATATTGTTATCTTCAAAGTAGTTGCTCAGATTACCAGATATAGGCATGCAAAATTGATCAAACTATTAAGCATTAACTGTTTCTTTTGATAAACCAATAGAAATTAATAGTACAATTATCTTAGCTGTCTTGTATATATATGTATATATATATGTATTTCCCTTCCTTCTTTTCTCCTTTTTTCCATCACAGTTGTTCTTTCCTTTTGAGCAGTTTCTTTCCCTTTCATAACAAGCTAATGGGGGCTGGGGATTTAGCTCAGCGGCAAAGCGCCTGCCTGGCAAGCGCAAGGTCGTGAGTTTGGTTGCCGGTACCAGAGAAAAACCAAAAAAAGACCAAAAAAAAAAAAAAAAAAAAACCCAAAGAAAAGATAACAAGCTAATGTGAGAGTGACAATAGCTAATTCATTGCATATTGTTATTTTCAGAGTTGTCACTTAGACTACAAGATATAGGCATAAAAAATTGTCCAAACAATGTTAACACAAACCATTCTTTTCAATGAACAAAGAGGAATTAGTATAACTATTTTGTGTGTATATATATATATATATATTTTTTTTTTTTTCCTTTTTTCTTTTCTCCTTTCCCTCATCCCGGATTCTCTTTCCTTTTGAACAGTTTCATACCATTTCACAATATCCATTGTATATTCTGCATCTTGTTTACTCTGTCAGGTTCTTATACTAGGGAGACAATATGATGTTTACACCTGTGAGCCTGAGTTATTTCACTTATGAGTACGGTCTCGAGTTGCATCCATTTGCCTATAAAAGTCTCAAGCTTATCTTTATTTATGGCTGAGTGGCACTCCACTGAATAAAAGGACACATCTTTTTTATCCATTCCTTGGTTGATGGGCGTTTGGGTTGTTTCCAAGGTTTAGCTATTACAAATTGTGCTGCTGTAAACATAGGAGTACATGTATCACTGTGGTATGATGATTTTAATTCTTCTGGGAAGATACCCAGAAGGGGAATAGCTGGACTGAATGAGGATTCTAATCCTATTTTTTATTTTAAAGAGAATAAGAAGAAAGATAGAAATAAAATAAAACAGTTTCAAATTAGGCTAATAGGAAAGTAACAATAATGAATACATTGTGCATTGTCATTTTCATAATAGTTACTCAGAGTACAGGAAATAGGCATAAAATAATGTCCAGACAATATTAGAACAAATCTTTCCTTTCGATGAACTAAGAGAAACTAGCTATATCATTATCTTATCATATATATATATATATTTTTTCATTTTCCTTTCTTCTTTCTCCCATTAGTTTCTCCTTTCTTTTGACCAGTTTCTTCTCAATTCACAGTATCTATTACAAATTTTGGATCTTATTTACTTGTTCAGCTTATCACACTAATGAAACAATTCAATGTTTACCCATATGGGTCTGTTTTATTTCCCTTATGAGTATGGGCTCAAGTTGCATCCATTTACTTACAAAGGCCTTGAGTTTATCCTTCTTTATGGCAGAGTACTATTCCATTGTATTAAAAAAATATCTTTTTTATCTGTGCCTCAGTTGGTGAGCATTTGGGTTGTTTCCATGATTTAGGTACTCAAATTACACTGCCATAAACATAGGAGTACATATATCACTGTGGTATGTTGTTTTTATTCTTCTTGGAAGATACCCAAAAGGGGAATAGGTAGGTTAAATGGGACCTCAATCTTAGGTTTTTGAGGACTCTCCACACTAATTTCCACCATGGTTGCACCAGTCTGCACTCCCACCAACAAAGAAGAAGTATTCTTTTCTCCCTACAGCCCTTCCAGCATTTGTTATTTGTTGATTTCATGATGACAGCCATTCTTTCTGAGATAGAAACTCAGTGTTGTTATAATTTGCATGTCTCAGATAACCAGTGATGTTGAACATTTATTCATATATTTATTTGACATTTGTATTTCTTCATTTGAGAAGTATGTATTCATTTCAGATGCCCATTTTTGGGTTGGGTCTTTGAATCTGGTAGGGGTTCTGATTTTTTTCAATTCTTTATATGTTTTAGATATAAGTCCTTTCTTTGTCCGTGAGACAACTGGCTACAATTTTTCTTCCCACTCTTTGGGTTGTCTTTTAACTCTGTTGATTCCTTTTGTTGTGCAAAAGCTTTTTAATAAGGTAAGATCCCATTAGTTGATTGTTTCTAGGATTTTCTGTGTAGTCTGGGTTTTGTTCATGACTTCTGTGCCTATATCTATGTCTTCAAGATTTCTACCTATTTTTTCTTCCAGTAGATTTAGTGTTTCTGCTTTAATATTTAGATCTTTGATCCATTTTTAGTTTAGTTTAGTGCAGTGTGATAGACATGGGTTGATTTTTAGTCTTTGGCATATAGAAAGCCACTTTTTCCAACACCATTTATTAAAGAGGCTCTCCTCCTGCCAGTTAATGTGTTTATCCCTTTTGTAAGAGATAAAGTGGCTGAGTGTGTTTGGAGTTGCATCTGCATCTTTCATTTTATTCCACTGATCCTCAGGTCTGTCATTTTGCCAATACCGTGCTGTTTATCACAGTAGCTTTGTAGTATAAGTTCAAGTCAGGGATTGTGATCCCCCTGCCTTGCCTTTGTTTCTCAAAATTGCTTTTGCTATCCTAGGTCTCTTCTTGTTCTAAATGGATTTTAGGATTGTTTTCTCTAATTTTGTGAGGTATACTAATGGCATTTTGATTGGGATTGGTGTGGTTCAGAAAGGGAAGAGACAATGTTTGCTCACATTAAATTATGGTAAGTTCAAGAGGTAGTCGAGGAAAGAGAGGGTCAATAGGAGAAAACAAAAAAAGAAATGTAATAAACAGTAAAAAAAATAAAGGAAGAGAGAGAAGAAAGAAGGATAAAAAAGGGGCCAGGAACAAAGAAGAAAAAAAGAACACCAAAAATAACCAAAAGGGCTGTGGCTATAGCTCAGTGGCACAGGGCCTGCCTGGCAAGTGCAAGGTCCTGAGTTCAATTCCTGGTACAAAAAACAAACAAAAGAACCAAAAAAAAAAAAAAAAAAAGACAAAATACAGAGCAAAAGAAGACAGAAATCCAATCAGACAGGAACAGGATAGCCAATCAGATAAGGGAGAATAGAAGTAGTAAAATTCATAAGCCAATCACAGTTCTGTGGTAGTGTCCAAGATAGATCCCAGAAATGTGCTGTGTAGTCCAGCCAAGATTGTTGTCGGATTTGTGCTGGGTATGGAGCTGATCTTGCCTCTGGATTTGGGGCTTGGAGCTGATCTTCTGTTGGTGGAATTCTCCAGGCCCTTTGCTATAAATTGGTAGACCTGCCTGTTTATATTCTGCGTGGCTGTGTGCCGAAGCTCAATGCTGGTTCACCTGCCTTACCGACTGCTGGCTCTTTAATGCTGCTTCAGACTTTTCCACACTGCTGGTCTCCCCTGGACCTGCATGTGTACCCATGGCAGGGCCTGGTCTCACTTGTCACACCTGTGAGCCCCCACCAGGGCCTGCCCTGGTCTTGCTGGTTGCTGTGCCTACTGTAGGTGTGCTTGTCTCAAATCCAGTTATTCTTTCCAATTTCCATGGACACGTGCATCTTAAATATTAATATTTACCTTAAATTTAAATATTACTTGTATTTAGTCATTAAAGATGACCTTATTCTATAAGCACAGAAAATAGATTAGAGTGCATCATTCCAGGGCTTAGGCTGTGTGTGTAATTTATAAAAGTTGCATCAAAGGTTTTCCTTTAAAAATGGACAATATAATATCTATCTTGTAGAATAACTAACATACTAGATGACTTTTGTCTATATTTCTGAAGTATCAATACAATAGAGTTTAGATTTAAGAATAAAAGTAGGATACAATGAGTATGAGTAGTTATTACAATTCATCCTCCTAAATGAAGTGGGTTCTTTGAGTGTAGGCTTGGATCTAACTTCCTGGCTTCCCCACTTTTCCTCTCTCCAGGGATGTACGGAAACATAAATCAGTTCACTCAAGCCCTTGAGGGTGAAAGGATGTGGGTAGTGTGTAGATTTTGGTCAGAATGTCTACATCCCTGCTGAGGCCGTCAGCTGCCTGGTGAAAGGCGCGAGGGCAAAGTCCACACCCTGTGCTCAGGCAACAATGCTGTAAGATTTGGAAGTGCTCATAAAGGCAGAAGGGGAAATGTTACTAAGGTTTTACAGAGAGGGTGAGTGGCTTTAGAAAGAAGGCAGGAAACAGCTATGGCACAGCAAAATCACTGTACTCCATCTGTGGGATGCTTCCTGGGTCAGCATAGAGTTCAGTTTCACAAAGGAGTATTATAGTAAACAAGAATTTATCCTGGAGCAGTTAATGAGCACAGCCCTGAAGACAGAAGAACAAGATGAAGAAGAAGGAAGAGGAGGAGGAAGGGAGGAGGAGGAGAAGGAAATGCCCTCAGTCTTCACTGTTTAGATGAGGAAACTGGGACTCTGGGATCATACTTAACCTTGCCCAAGGTCATGTGCCTGCGTCATAACAAGAGGCAGGGCTTAACCTCAGGAAGACCGATACGTTTAAGCTTGTATCTCTGTAGAATAGTGACTTCTGGCAGAGACATCCAAAAGAGAGACTGTAGGGTGGAAACCAGAAGCACCAAGAGAACATGGAGGAATGGAGTGAGTGGGAGAGGCAATGTGTCCAGTGACGTGATCAAAGTGACTGACTTTCGAGCCGCCTTTCCAACACAGAAACTGGAGGCGTAGGTTAAGGAAATGAGAAGCTTTATTG